GATAGGCTGAGAGACCTCCACACTAGAGGTCATAACTGCAAGTGAAATGTAACTGTTCGCCGACCTACGCAATCATATAAATACGAATTGTCACATTTTGAGATGAAAGATGCCCTAGGCAACTGAAAACCATTCAAGTTCGTTGGGTTTTTTTGCAAAAATTCTTGTTCATATTATAGCAAGTCAGTTTTATCATAGTTTCATACACAAAAACCCATTTTGCATCAAGATATGGAGTATGCCATTTTTCGTTTGCATCATGACTTATGAAAAGAGACGATATCAAATTCAAGAATTTCAGAACTTACGGCATGGCTCCATGTGTTGCCTTTGAATAGTGAGGCAGCGATACTTTCCAGCCTCTTCGCGGAATTGTATGGAAATCTCAACTCGCCTAGACTTTCGGCAGTAGTCGCATAGTCCGACTCGACGATTCATGGATTGCGAGCAGCCTGCAAAGGTGAATAATGAAGGATAAATGAGTAGTGCTGGCAAGCAAAATGAAGACTAATTTCCAGAATTTTGAATTTTGTGGGCCTTGTTGGGCTATCAGGTGTGAGTGAGGCGTATATGATTTAATCCTCTTGTCAGGTCAGAGGCAAAACTCAGGTCGACATTAACCTAAGAGTGTGTAGCAATAGAAGGTTTGGTGATTCGACGACCTGTTTTACGAGAAGAGTCAAGTATTAATTGACGTAGAGAACAGAAAAATGCGAGTTCTATCGAAATAGCCTCTTCTCTGACTCTTTCCAGATGGCTCGTTTGCACCCTCTTGAAGGCATTCCAGGGCTTCGGCTGCTGGTTGCTAATGCCTTAACCAGTAATGGTACCAAAAGTACACATGACTATAACAAAAGGGCTAATCGCTAGAGTAGACAGTAATTCATCTTTTTTCGTTATCGAGTCATATCATTGTGGGAAAATTCAGATCTCAGTAATCCAGCTGGAGTGTGAGGGGTTCACATTTCAATTTTTGGGATTGATTCGGCCGGGTATTGGCGAACGATTTTAAAAAAAAGAAGAGGCGACGGACATGCGGTTGAAACAAATCATACATTTTCTAAATGATGCGAAGGAATATGTTCTTCAACCTAGAGTCCTACAAAGTTATGTGAAATTTCAAAGCTAAGAACTTTGTCACCTTAGGTCTCTTAGAACGACTTAATAATAATAATATAATGCATCACTCAATTTGACCTATCCGAGAATTTCGGGAAACTTCTTAGTTTCTACTTGTTAAGCATACTTCCATTTGAAATGAGAATGTGTGAGTAAGAGACCATACAGTTGGTCCCACCAGAAGACTAGGGTGAGGATGTACACGAGGTGATCTCCTTCGATTCCGGTGATGATGAACAGCATCAGAACAAGGTTTCATTCTAACAAACATATTAAAGTTCTCATGACTTTTTAGCTTGAATATGATTGCAAGAATAGATAATCAGCTCTGAGGATAATAACGAAAGCCGTCTGCCTGGTAAGACAGACCTTCGAATATCCCAAACACACTCTCTCACCTAAATTAAATGGGTTCAACATTTCTGGTTGAATAAGTCCTATTTGATTTAAGTTCATGAAGAATTGGTAGTTGAATTTTCTCACAATGATTTGAGTAGACATTACGTTCCCAGTGAATGTCTAATCATATTATTATGGGAAAATTCAACTACCAAACCTTCATGACTTTATATGAAATAGGGTGAACGCGGCTCCTGGCAGTCTCGAAAACCTACTCTAAATGAATTTGCACTATTTGGCTGCATAATTTGAGCCGTTATTCTGGCCAAAGCAAGGAGAAAGAAGCAATAGTTGCCGAAGTCTTACTTTTGCATGGCTTGTATCGTCGAGAGGTCAGTTGTTGGCAGATCCCGTTGGCAAGCAGTCGATAACAGGTTCGCCGAATCTCGATATTCTTTGTCTTTGGATGACAGGCGCCAGCTTCTATTCGGCATTTCGGGCAGTCTGGAAAGTATATTAAAAAACATAATGTTTACAACGAAAAAAAACGCGTGTCTAGCAAATAAGGCGCTTTATGTGATTCTGCCAGTAGAAAGGGATATCAATAAGGGATCGTGCAAAGAGGTGGCGCCTCAGTTACAAACTTGTTTACCAATTTCACAGTTACGTAGTTAGTCACTTAAAGAAAGTTAAGAACCGGAAGTGTAGTTCTTTCAAAAATGCTATGAGTAGACTGCATAATGCCGTCAAATTTCACGTACCCTTGTCTCACACAAAGCTTGCTTATCCTGTCTGGATTATACATTCCGTCACACTTAGGTCGAAACGAGATTCGAAGTCAGATTGTACGCATTTTGGCGATACGGATACAAGACAACTGTGACATTCACTGCAAGCCGAGCTTTTCCCAAATCATATCCATGGAAATATTTGATTTTCACTTCTGCATTTTCCCTTGGCGACTTAGTGTGACAAAGCTATTATTCAAAATGTACAGCCGGTTTTGAAGCGTAATTATGCAGAATCTAAATAATTTCATTAATTATGATGAAAAATAGTTGTGTGACTCGGTTAAATTCTCAGTATAAATGGGATATGGCAAAGGAATGGCTAGTATGCTATGTCATATCTGCCCCGTACCCCACTGACAGCCTTGGCTGTGTCACGATGCACACGAGCCAGCTTCAAATCCCGTTGGGGGTGATGATAAAACTTAGTCGAGTTCAAAATTCCAGTCTACTTCGGGTTGAAAAACCTTCTGGGAGGTAAGACTAAATATGCTTAAATGACATCGTATCAACTAATCTCAGCAGTGACGGAAAAATTCCCCCCTCAGTCAATCAATCATACTACTGATTTATTTCGAAACATGCCTACTCACAAGACAAGTCTAGAAATTTCCTCTATGTCTCATTTATTTTGAAAATGAAGTCTTTGGTCCTGGTCCCTATTCCCTGAAAGTCCTTCATTCCTGACCTGTCTTGGTGAATTTAGGCCTCTCGGGCACAACTTCCATGTCTCTAGCCCAGTCCAGTCTATCAAGGGCAAACTTGGTGCCGAACTCTGGTAGATGTGGTTTATGAACACATTTATGTGTGATTTTACATTGGCAAATCCTCATAAAAGCATGACTCTGAGAAAATTCGGCTACTTGCTGAATAGGGTGGTACATAAATCTACCATATATTCATGCATACATACACATATACATGCATACATGCAAACATACAGACAGACAGGCAGATGTCGGGAGAAAGCATCGTGTGTCCAGACTGAATCTACTGTTATTTTAGTTGTCAACAAGTCATGCCCCAGCTATCAGGAGCTTGATTGTTGTCGGGGTGTAAGCCTGTTGTTGTGGGCAGATTCATTGCTAATAAATTAGCAGGATCCTACCAGAAGACAACGGATGACTCTAGTCAGGACAAACTTTGATCTCATTCTTCTTGACTAAGTGCTGACTTGACGTGTTTACTAGAATGTGTGTGTTTCATATGACAGATGAAGGCTAAGTCCATTTCCACCCAAAACAATAGGGGATAATCTCTTGTGGACCGTGTCAACAACGAGCGTCATGCTTCGTCTTCTGGTGAATTCAAACTACAAATCTACATCATGAAATTTCATAGAAAAGGAAATTCCCACAATAATGTGATCTCAAGAGATATATTGTATTTTCGTAATAGAGTAGAGTTTCGAGACTACCAGTAAATCAGTAGTATGAGAAGTATTCACCCCATTTCGTTTAAGGTGATGAAGGACTGGTAGTAGAAATTTCCCACAATGATATGAGTTGAGCTGACGTTTTCATTGAATTTCACATTGCCTTGCCTTCCCAAAAGGTGTTCCCATCCCGGCTGGAGTGGACTGCAGTTTCAGCCTCATCACCTTAAACGAAATAGGGTGAATACCTCTCAGATATATTGTATGCTGCTTATCGGAATAATAACAACTCTGTCAACGATGAAGTGAAGAAGGAGCTGTAATTGTCAAGTGACTTCATAGTGAGCTGCTAATCCAACATCGCTTAGACTCTCTTAGCACGGGATCGAATTTAGCGGGGTTTGCTGAAGCGACAACGAAACGCGATATGGGAACTGTCTCTTGGGCGACAGTGCAAAGGGGATTTAACCGCATAAATTTGGCATTCTCTAGAATTCATTGTTGCCAGATTCGCTGGCCTTTAAAACTGGTGAACCCCGACTTTGAGTTTAAAGTTTCTTGCCTAAAGACAGTAATACCTGCTCACTACGGAGGAGTATTTCGAAGACGTAAAAACTGAACATGTGGTTGCTGAGTGCCGGTCTCCAGTGGCACCAGAGGA